TATACAATTCCGCTCACTTAAAGAAACTAGTTTACAATAAATTATTCTACATCCGTCTCGGTGTATTTGTCCAGCTTGAATTTTTTGAGTCAAACTAGACAAACTTTGAATTTCAATTACTCATAAATTATACTCGTATAACATTTTAGCATATTGAAATAAAAATTTGAATGTTCTCAGCAAGATAAATTTAATAAAATCATTTTTATACAAATATACATTGTGGTTTTTATTTAATTGAAGTTCAAAGTTCATCCAGTTTTGTAACATCCTAATCCGTCCAGGTCTGCAATACCTTTCATACTAAAATATTAACTTGGTAACATCACAATTTAAAACATTTAAAACTTTATTTTAATATAATAAAGTATTCATAAAACACTATCAGTAACATTATTGGAGATTTTTAATTTATAATAGTGCAGAAGCTTTCATAAACTGAATTCATTATTTGGTCATTACCAAAAATTCCTTCATTTAATACTCATATTTATTTGAATTGATCAACATTTTAACCTAAATCCGTAAATCTCCTCCATCTTGCTACTCTCGGGAAGATATTCCATCTTTAACATCAATCATAACTGTATGTAGCAAATAATACATACTACACGTTCAGCGGTAAAGCCGATTGAGGATACCTAATGCGTCGAACATACAAATAAATAGAATCACAATTCATAAGAGCAACTCCAAGGGGTAGACTATATTGTAAAATATACACTATATACAATTTAATATTGTCTTTTCAATACTCCAATGGATAGGGTAAACCAAGTGGTAAAATGCAATGTAGTGTAAAAAGCAATCTCCAAAGTCCATTTTTACAAGTTCACTATAGATAGTGGAAAGAATAAAAAATTAATTTTCTTCATTTTTTTCCTTCCCTCTTCTCCATTTTCATATGTACAAGGTATTTATTAAGTCTTTTTTAAAAAATCATTAAAAATAAGTTACTTAATACAATAAAATATTATAAAAATGTATTATATAGAAGATATAGTTGGAGTAAGTATAAAAAAATGGAAATGTAAAACACTATTGATAGTGTAAAATGAAGTTTACACTACCAATTTTTACACTACACCTTGGAGATGCTCTAACCAAGTCATAGGGTATAATGCAAACAAGATGTAATTCCAGATATTTAATACTCTCTCTGTTCTCAAAAACATTTCATCTTTCATTTTTTTCACTTTCAACAAAACACTTTCACTTTTTATTAAAAAACCACTTTTACCCTTACTTTTTCATACCCTATTTATCATATCATACTTTTTCTTTAATAATCTATCCATCACATCTTACTTTTACACATCAAGCACAAAATTAGAAGTCAACTACAATTTAACACTTCCTTATTTTTATACTTTGTCAAAATAAGAACTCAATTTTAGAACGGATGGAGTATCAGGTAGTTATCATATTAATCGTTAACCCATTTTAGTTAGTTACAATTACAATAGTCTCATTCAATTACTCATGTTATTTTCTCATTCATTTCATTAATCATTTTTCAACCCAAAGATTCGTAAACATTCAAGATTGAAACTAATTCATCACTCAATATTCATTATATCAACAAGAACACTCTTAAATTATTGTTAGTCAAATGCCAAATCAAAATAGTGCTTTTAAACTATTCTTAGACCTAATCACACGATCGTAGTGGAGCGGTAATAAAAGATGCCTAAAAAATAGATAGAATAAAAACTTAAACCAGGAAGAAGGGCCCTGAAAGATGGGTGTTGTCCGAAAGAGGGCCATATATATAGAAAAAAGAGAATCGAGATCTTATCGGGGACGCCCGATTCATTTAAGCCCTCTAAACAAGGCATTTTAGATTCGTTTCCGAGAGACATAGAAGAGATAATTACTTACATCGGTTAGTGAGACTAACAACAATTTAACAGTTGATTCAATTCATATCGATCCGCAGGGGTACTAATTACGTTATGTGTTGAAATATTGGAATGATAATATTGTTCTGTTGAATTGTAAAGTACATGATAGAGTATATATAGAATAGACTCCTAAAACAACTAGGAATAGAGAATGAACACTAACTAAAATACAACATCTACTTTAAATAGGAATAGGAAGTTGAGTTATAATCCAACACTACAATAACTAATACTATTATTACTATTCTCTAACATCCCCCTCAATCTGAACTCTAGCTGAAGCAAGAGGAAGCTTGGACACTAGCTGGAAACTGGAAACTTTGAGAAGAGAGAATCTGACGTGCGTCGGTGGCTGCTGACGTCGTTGGAGAAGAGAGAAGTCTGACATGCACTAGTAGCTACAAACATCGTTGAAAATTTCATAATTTTGTTCATTATGAAAAATTTCATGACATGCATCATGGTTTCTTGGCGGCTGTTTCATCCCATGAGGTTCCTAGAAACTTCAAGGAGGCCATGCAACATGCTAATTGGCAAGTGGCTATGTAGCAGGAGATTGATGCTTTGGAAAACAATCATACTTGGGACATCACCGATCTTCCTCATGATCGCACTGCTTTGGGGTGTCAATGGGTTTATCGGACCAAGTTCCGGTCCAACGGTACCAAAGAACGAGACAAGGCACGCCTTGTGGTCTTGGGGAATCACCAGGAATTTGGGACAGATTATACAGATACCTTTGCCCCTGTTACTAAAATGGGCACTGTTCGTATTTTATTATCTGTGGCTGTGGCTAAAAATTGGGAGGTTCTTCAGCTTGACGTTAATAATGCTTTTCTGAATGGAGATCTTATTGAGGAGGTCTATATGCGGTTACCTCCTGGGTATTTTATTCATGGAAAAGTATGCAAACTTTGGAAATCTTTATATGGGTTGCGTCAATCTCCACGGAATTGGTTTCATAAGCTGAGCTCTGCCCTTCGTGATTGGGGGTTCAAGCAAGCTCACAAGGACCACACTTTATTTATTTTACATTGTGGCCTTGATATTCTTACTGTGTTGGTTTATGTTGATGATATCTTGGTTGCAGGCAATAATCCTTCCATGTGTTCTTCCTTTAAGCGATACTTGGACCGGTGTTTTCAGCTCAAAGACTTGGGCCCTGTCAAATATTTCTTGGGGATTGAATGTGCTCGGTCTCCATCTGGTATGGTCCTTTGCCAGCGCAACTATGCAATGGAGATTTTACACTAGGCCGGCCTGTTGGGATGCAAACCGGCGGGCACCCCTATGCCGACGGCGCACGGCCTGGCCACCTCGGCAGCCCCCCCTCTCCAAGATCCTGCACGATATCGTCGACTAGTTGGCCGTTTGATCTACCTCACTATCACTCGTCCTGATATTTGTCACTCTGTTCATGTTTTGTCCCAGTTTATGCAGACACCCAATCTTGATCACATGAATGCTTCTCTGCGAGTTCTGCGTTATATCAAAGGCCACCCGGGTCGGGAAATTTTTCTGAGCGCCACTAGTAATCTTCAGATTACTATTTATTGTGACTCTGACTGGGCTAGTTGCCCTCTTTCTCGACGGTCCGTTAGCGGATATTTTATCATGTTGGGCACTTCCCCGGTTTCATGGAAGACGAAGAAACAGACCACCGTGGTGCGGTCTTCTGCAGAAGCTGAGTATAGGGCCATGGCCAATGCATGCGTTGAGATACGCTAGATGCACGACATTTTGGGCGCGTTAGGTGTCCCCATTCTATATCCTCCGCGTTTATATTGTGATAATCAATCAGCTTTGTATATTGCAGCGAATCCAGTGTTCCACGAACGAATGAAGCATATTGATGTCGATTGTCATACGGTTCGTGAATCTGTTCAATGCCACGAGGTGTCTACACGCTATGTCCCTACGCGTTATAAGTTGGCCGACATTTTTACCAAACCATTATCCAAACCTGTCTTTGATTTCTTACTGTTCAAGTTGGGCATTCGAGATCTTCATACACCAACTTGAGGGGGAGTGTTAGGGGATATTTGTAATTAACCGTAGATATTTATGCTATTGGGCCTGTACTTGTTAGCCCGTTTATGTTCTTATATATATATCGGTTTGTGATTAATGAAAAGCAGATCAGTTTCCGCTAAAATTCTACATTATTCATAATCATCATTTATTCAGGATATAATCATACAAACATATGATTATAATTTACAAATCATAACTTTAAGCACAACTATCATACATTTCAATTCATTCGTAATAACAATATTTAATAAAATAAGATCATCTTTTTTGTTATATAATCATATTTATAATCATATTTAATAAAATAAGATCATCTTTTTTGTTATATAATCATGTTAATTATTATTGTTGTTGTTGTTCTTGTAATTTAAGCTTTTTTAGAAGAGCGAAATTATAAGATTATACGAGGTTTCTTTACGATTCTTTAATTCTCCTCGTCAATTTTATTGAACAATCAAGTTAGATTTTCTACTTTGATTAGGGTTAGGATTTTTCGTGTCTATAGATATATAGATATGTAACCCCATTCAGATTAACTCCTTAGGGCATGCAATATATTAATGAGAGTATAATTGTATGGATGTGCTAGGGATATTCAAATTGGTTTACTCGGGGTGTAATTCAATTTCTCACAAACACATAAACTTATTGTATGTATTTCACACACACATGGAGTGAATGGGGGTGTACACCTAGATTTTTCCATATGTGTGTATATAATCATGAGAATGAGTGATTTGGTAGACAAATGGAGCAAATGAAAATGTTCAGTCCGTCTTGGGACTTGCCCAATTCAAAGGGGGTATGGTACTATTGGGTCTTAAATTAAGAGGAGTAATAAGTTTCAACTCCTCATTATATTCAACTCTCAATCTCCATCCCATCGGGCCGTCTATATAAGCTGGCGTCACCAACTCTCTCCCACAGCACAAACTCTCATAACTTACCCTTCTTTCCATTTCTTAGCTGCCCTTTCTTTTCTTCTCTCTCTCTCTCTCTCTATATATATATATATATATCTTACTACTGTCCAGTGAGCTAAGTGAACAAATTTAAAAAGAAATCTATCTATCTAGAGAGAAAAACAGATAATAATAATAATAATAATAATAATAATAACAACAACAATAATAATGGGTAGAGCCCCTTGCTGTGATAAAGCAAGTGTGAAGAAAGGGCCATGGTCACCTGAAGAAGACGCCAAGCTGAAGGACTTCATTCACAAATATGGCACTGGTGGCAATTGGATTGCTCTCCCTCACAAAGCTGGTAATTATTGTTTTTTTATTTCCAATAATAAACCATATATATATTTCAATTAATCATATCATTATTATTGTGATGAGTCCTTAGCATGCAGCTAGCTAGCTAGTTAGCTGATTAGTTATATTGTTTTCACTTATAATATGGTTTACTATTTATATATAATTAATCTTGGTCTTATAGTGTTTAATTAATTAAGTTTTAAAAATTAGGGTTAAAGAGATGTGGGAAAAGCTGCAGGCTGAGATGGTTAAATTACCTTAGGCCAAACATAAAGCATGGTGAGTTCTCTGATGAAGAAGATAGAATCATTTGCACCTTATTTGCCACCATTGGAAGCAGGTACATTATTTATCTATACATACACTCTCTCTAGCTAGTCTCTAAATTGAATTTACATTATATTCTTTGGTCAAACTATGTGCTCATAGTTAATTACATGCGAGTATATTTTTATTTATAGATCATTTTATGATAATAATAATATATCTTTGTGTTATTTTTTGTTTTCTAGAATTTTTAACATAATTTATTTTGAAAATATACTGTCTTTGTATTTGTTCAGTTTTGACTTTTTTCAATCAACTCTTTTCAACCTTTGTCCCGTAATTAAATAAAATATACTCCCTCTGTCCCAAAAAGATCGTTACGTTTCATTTCTTTGCGCATCACAAAAGGCAATGCTACTCACATCTAAAATTTCTAAAATTTACCATATTTACTCTTTATTATAAGATGAAATTGTTTTGAAAGTTTTTTTTGGCATTTGAGACGATATAAAAATATTTTAAGGGATGCGCAAAGAAATGAAACGTAACGATCTTTTTGGGACGGAGGAAGTATATTGTATATTAATTATATAAAATAATATTTTAACAATATTTCATATAATAAACCTAATAAAAGTATTTTTGTATTAATATCTAATATTATTTTTATTTAATTTGAAGTCAAAGTTTATGAATTTTGACTAAAAAAGTGAAAAATAGACAAATACTCAAGAACGGAGGGATATGTAATAGATAAACTTTATTTTCGAATAAAATGAATTAAACATAATTTTGGGTCAAGTTTACTTGGAGATTGAGGTGTGTATATGTGTGTGTGTGTGTGTGGGTTTATTCAATTTAACAATTAAAACGAGTGGGGTGCATAATTAATAAACTTCCAAACCAACATATACATGAAGCTTTAATTTGGACATTGTTTGGGAAAAACCCTTTGTCTTTTTCGAGTCTTATTGTATGAGCATAATTAAACATAGAAAATCATCAATTACATAGCATAGTTAAGCATGGAAAATTGATAGAATATGGGAAGGATATGGACAACTGGATTGGGTAATAAGACACAAGACACTTGGGTTGAACCACATTAAAAGATTGAATCCAATCGATTAGTTAGTTCAACTCTAGAGCTTAAATACCGATTATTTTACTCTTAGATTTCCGATGTGGGATGTACTCTTACAAAAATGAATGAATGGATGAATGGGTGGGTTTGCAAATGCAGGTGGTCAATAATAGCAGCACAATTACCAGGGAGGACAGACAATGATATCAAGAACCACTGGAACACAAAGCTCAAGAAGAAGCTCATCAACCTTATGATCACTAATGATCACAATAATTACAACCAGCAGAGCAGATCATCAATTACAACTACAACAACCAAATCTTCATCATCATCATCATCATCATCTTCTTCTTCTTCACTGCTCCTTCCTCCTCCTGATCTTCAACATGATGAACATCTCCCATTTCATTGCTATCCTGCCCCAGACACTTCCCTTTCTGCCCTTGCAGATCAATACCATCACCAGCCCTATTCTTGCACTACCACCTTCTTTCAGAACCAAGACCATCTTCAGCAGGGTTTCTTGAATCTCACCCACTTTGGTGTTACCAACAATGTGGGTACTAATAATGAGCCCAAATATGAACCCAAGCAAGAAGAAGAAGAAGAGGGTGATTACGATTTTCTTCTTCTTCATCAGCAGCAGCAGCAGCAGCAGCTGGTGATGATGAACACTTGTTTCCATGCCACCTATGGGGGGCATTTTGGGAATTTTGAGAACAACAGATTTGGTGAAGGTGAGATTTTGCAGGAACACAAGTTGTTTCTTGAGTACTGTACAGGAGCTGGTAGTGCTACAAGTGATGACCAGCAGCAGCAGCAGCTTCAAGGAAATGAAGGGTATTTTGGGAACAATGCTTGCATGAACATTAACAATGATCATCTAGAAACTGTTAAGAAGGAGATGATGAGGTACTACTAACATTGCTGATTGTACTACTCCTCCTACTACTACCCTGTCATCATCATCATCATCAGGCCAGCCAAGTAGAAAAATGATGAAGATTTGAAAGGGCATGGCATGGCATGGCATGGATGATGAGTGCTTTGCTTGATTAAATTTCATATCAGTGTTTTTGGATTTTGTGTTTGATTATTGTATGCTATGGGGATGGGGATGATGATGATGATGGATGGGATTTGAATTGAAATTAAATACCCTTTTTTTATTGACTAAATTGACAGTGCATGACAGCAATAATTATTATTACATGAGCCTAGAGCTACACTCTATACCTTTTTCTTTCTTTTTGTGCATTTCTTTTTGGTTTGATGATGACAATCTTAAACCACCAATTATGTAAGAAAACGTTGCAGTGATGAGATCTCATAAACCAGAAAAAGAAACAAAGTTTTTTTTTCAAAAAAAAAGTTTAATTAATACCCATTACTCCTAAGAAAAATGGCCTAGCTAGCTAGCTAGGGCAAGAGGATAAGCATCATAAGCAAGTAGCCCTAGATTAGGTGGCTATATAGCTAATGATAACCATGAAGGGTACCCTTCAATAAGCAAAGATAAATTAAGGAGTAGTACTATGCACCCATTATATATATATATATATATATATATATATATATATATATATATATATATATATATATATATATATATATATATATATATATTTATATGCACCTGTAGTAGTGCTCTATATATAGCTACTATCTGAAAAAGAAAGATCTATCTCTGTTTTGTACCCATTGGAAATGGGAATCCACAATCTACCCCTTAGCTTAGTCTTGTATCTATCCCTTTGCCCACCATTAGATTCTTGTAGTATTTCAATTGCTCATTGCCTATAGAGTTTAGCTATTCAATAGCTAAACATGAAATACTCCCTAGTAAACTTGGCATGGGCTACTCGTGTACCCTTACTCACTTCCTCTCAACAAGATTAATTTATGTTGATTTTTTAGTCAAAATATGTTACACTTTGAGCAAAAATAATTGCGAAAACGTATGTTTAGTTATATCGCAATGATAAAATAATAATAATAGACACTATAGTTTCGGATGGAAAACGTATGTTTAGTTATAACTATGATAAACTTTTTGGGATTGTATACAAGAACGATGTCCAGGTACATTAATTGCTGACCAGAAACCAAATAAGAAACTCACTGATATGAATTTGTATCAAATAGGCTAGGGAGGGTTTCGAGTACCTTCAATTCCAAAAACAAGAGATCAGAAGATATAGAGTAGCAGTTGATGGTAGAACAAGGAGATTGAGGTAGACATAGGAAAAAGTTGTGCGGCCAATGGCCGGCGGTTGTTATGCACACTCGTCAATTTTGAATATTGTGGTAATATTTAAAAATAAAAATTACATACGTGGTTGGCCCAGAGGGTGCGCAAAGTGGCCAACCGCACAGGACCCCTATTTTAGGGGCTCTAAAATTTTAGGGGTCCATATCTTCAAATTTGATATTAATTTTAAAGCATAAGAATTCTAAAAAAATAAAATAGGGCCCAAAATGGTAATTCTGGACCGGGCCAATTTTATTTTTTTATTTTTCAGGAACGGCCTGATTACATATTTTAAAATTACATCAAAAGTTATTTGAAACAAGGAATGACATAATTTTGTTAGTTTATCAAATATGTAGTGAAATTAGTTAAAAAAGTGAATAACATTTGATCATATAAATATTGAATAGACACTATAACTTCGGGTGGAAGGAGTATAAAATAGAGAATATTTTATAATTGGGGTTGTAAAACTGACGTTTTATATACTTAGTCTACTATTACAAAATAATACTTCATTGGCTCATCCAAAGATTTTCCCATTATGTGTTAGAGGCTTGACTAACTTTATTTCCAATTTAATTTATTTGATTGTAGATGTTAAAATTTATAATAAAATTTAGATAGTAAAAAACTACATGAAAAGTTCTACCATACAAAACCAAAGGTGACAAGATTATATTACGGAGTATTTTATAAAATGAGTAATAAAAATAAGCAAACAAAAAGAGTTAAGTTTGACTTTGAAAATAGTGTCATGGAAGATTAGAGTAGGTTTGTGGTCATTCGTTTATGATACATTTCTATGATACACAATTAATTCTATACAATATTTTCAAAATATTATTTGATACTCCTTCCGTCCCGAAATAGATTACAATATTCTCTCATATTTTTCTCCCAAAAAAATTACAAAGTCAATAACTTTACAAAGAATTGACTCTTTTACTCTCCCACTCCTACGCTATTCACACACTATTCATCCATGTGAGTGGGCAACTTGGGGGTAATTTGGGGAAAAAAATTTGATTTGACTCTTCCTTAATTTCAACAAAAAGGGAATATTGTAATCTAAAGTGGGACGGAGGGAGTATAATTAATAAGCCCTATAATTTCTATTTAATTCGAGGTCGAAATTCAAAATGATTGAGTGCAAAAAGTTAGAAGTAGACAAATACTCAAAAACGAAGGTAATAATTTTACATTAACCTAAGAGCTAAAGGGTACCCGGAGTAAAAATTAGTTTATAATAAAATTAGTTTATAATATAGGGTTTATGTTTAATAAAATTAGTTTTTTTTTTGAGGTATAATAAAATGAGTTTAGTTTGTCTAAAATTCTACATTTTCTTTGTTCAAGTTTTGTTTAAAAGGGTGTCAAATCTTGAAGTGTAAAAGGTCAAAAGGCATGCAGTGTAAAACTCTCACTCTCACTGACGACAGATGACAAAGCAAAGCAAATGAGGGGGGCTGACACACACACACACACACACATATGCTAGTGTGGAATTTGTATGCTAAAGCAAAAATTGAGGAACAGTGTGTCTCCTCAGTCATCCCCCCTGTTTGGCCCAAATTAAAGAAGAAACATTCAATTCAATGAATTAAATATTTGTATTCTTTATAATACTCTCTCCGTTTTTATTTTAATTAGAAAATAAAAATTACAATGTAAAATTTTATGATTTTTGAAACTATTCGCATGGTCAAACTTTAATCATATCTTGTTTTATAAAATTTTTGATGTAGTTTTTAAATATATAGATTTTACTCCTTCCGTCCACAAATAAACTTTACATTGCGCGTTACGATGTTTGAGTGAAGTTATTTTCAAATCATTTTATATGAAAAATAGTGTAGAATTGAAAAATAAAAATTACATATTAAAAAAACTATATCAAAAGATCTACAAAACTAGAGGTGACATGAATATATTATTTTATCAAATGGGTGACGAAAATAGGCCAACAAAGTGAATAAAGTTTGACCATGTGAATAGTGAACGTAAAACTTATTTGTGGACGGAGGGAGTATTTTTTAATTTTACACTTACAATCAAATAAATTGAATTAAAAATAAATTCGGTCAAACCTCGTAAAAAGAAACGAGAAGAACGTTTTAGGACGGAGGGGGTATTATTTATAAATTGGTACATCAATAAGAAATAAAAATTATATATTAAAAAACTACGTCCAAAGTTTGACAAAACAAGAAGTGACATGAATATTTTATTTTATCAAATAATCAATAAAAATACACAAATAAACAAAAATTATCGAGACGAGAGTTAAAATAAAATTGAAATCAAAATGGGGATGGGAAAGTGGTATACAAAAGTATTTTATTTTATCAATTTATCAATAAAAACACACAAATAAAAAAATTTACCGAGAGAGGAGATAAAATAAGATTGTAATCAAAATACGGACGGAGGGAGAAGTATACTATAGGGAGCTTGCTAGTTGTATAAAATACAATAAATTAATTAAAAATGTGATCTGTCTGAACTCTCTCAAGGTTTTGCCCAAACAGAGAAGCATAAAATTTCGGCATCCTTTCAGATGATATGTTTTTTCTCAATTAATAAGACTTTACAAACTCATGAAAACCATAAACAATTACTCTGACTGTTTTCTTATTATATTGCTCCAGTTTGTATATTTATACCATAGCAATATAGCATTTACAAGTATATATTACTTCCTCCCTTCCAAAGTAAAATACTATCTTTTTAAAATTATTTTATTTACAAATTGGTAGAAAAATAAAAAAAAATAAAAAATACATCATTCAAAAGTACATTAAAAATTTTACAAAACAAGATGTGACACGAAAATTTTATGTCATCAAATGGTCAACCAAAATAAGTAAACAAATAAAATTATCAAATGCCAAAATAGTAACTTTAACATTTTTTTGGCATGGGTGGCCCGGAGGGTGTGCAAAGTGGCCAATCGCACATGGCCCATAAAATTTTAGTGTTCAATATTTTTAAATTCATCATTAATTTTGAAGCATATGTATTCTAAAATGATAAAGTAGAGCCCGAAGTATAAATTTCGAACCGAGCTTAATTTATTTTTTCATTTTTCGAGGTTAATCCTAGTTTTTGGGACAGATGGGGGCAATAGAAAACAACTTATAAGGTGTACACCTTTTTTATATAAAACTTTTGATGTATTGGCATTCTTGTCACGTACTTCCTCCGTTGCATAAACCTTTTCAAAGACAAAGAGATGCACTCTAAAAATGTACAATTTTGGTATTATTTTCTAATTTCGTTATTACTTTATCATAAGTAGATTATGATTTGTATGATAAATAAGTCATAATTAAAAAATAATATCAAAAGTACTCAGTTTTAAGACGGGTCTTTCATCGTCTTTAAAAAGTTTTATGAGACGGAAAATGTATCATTTTATACTCCTTCAGTTTGTAAAAACAATTTAATCTTCATTTTTTACGCATCCTCAAAACACTTCTGTTCTACCTAAACTGTTTAAAGTACGCATCATTTCATCTTTATTGTGGGTAAAAGTTATATATATATATATATATATATATATATATATATATATATATATATATATATATATATATATATATATATTAAACATTTTAAGTTATAAATGTTTTCAGAGATAGATGCGTAAAAATGAAGGTAGAACTAACTGTTCTTTTAAACGAGGGAGTAAAACTTTTCTAATATTGAATTACCTACTATCACTTACTTTTTATTTTTATATGAATTTATTACTCGTAATAACATAATTTTAAAATAGATGTGATTTTTCATGTTATTCGAGAATAATTATATAAGATTTCAAAAGAGTAAATTCCAAAAATGTTACTCAATAACTATTTGTCTTTTATATTACTCACCAAAATTAATTAATTATCGAGATAGTACTCGTTAATTGAAAATGATACTCAATTCAGCCCCCGAATAACGACCATTAAAACGGCGTTAACATAACGTTAAAAATTATACTAATTTCCCAAAATGGTACTTTCTAGTTGGATGTTTTCTGAAATTGGTCCATTTTCAAAACAAAAATATATTAAATATGGAAAAATATTTTAAATGTTTTAGGATAAGAATATAATAATAACTATACATGTAATTTTATAAATTTGAAAGTAACATTTTAGATTATGTGCAATTATTAAGAAGAATGTCATGTAAATAAAATATTTAATAATGTTAAAATAATTAACGTAAATAGGAAAATAACATAGAGAAACTATCAAAATAGGAGCTCTTTCTCTATGTTTTATTTCTATTTAGGATGATTTTTTTAACGTTCGTTAAACATTTTATTTTAAATATATTCTTCAAAATAATTGTGAATAATCTAAAATGTTTACTTTCAAATTTATAAAAGTATATTAATTGTTTTTATATTAGTAATATATTCTCATCCTATAAAACTTAATATTTTTTTTCCATAACTAATTTATTTTTATTTTGAAAATTAATCAATGTGAGAAAACACCGAGTTACAAAAATATCATTTTGGGATCGGAAAGCAATACAGGGTTTACGTCATTTTAATGTCATTTTAACAGTGGTTACTTGGGGGTAGAATTAAGGACTATTCTCAATTAACGAGCTGAGTATCATCCAATAATTAGTTAATTAGAGGGATTGATTTGGGAAAACACATAGTTATTGAGTATCATTTTAACAATTTACTCATTTCAAGAGGTTTCAATATACACACTCATTTTATCCCTAAAAGTCTTTCTTCTTTCTTTCTTTTCTTGTACCTAAATCTTTTTCTCCTTTTTGAGTTAAATGCTATTTTTACTCTTACTAATTTTTACCTTATCTATTACTCCACCCGTTCTCAAAAACACTTCATCTTTCAACTTTTTTCATTTCCAACAAAATACTTTCACTTTCTATTAAAAAATTAAATTTACCCTTACTTTTTCATACCCTACCTATCACATCATATTTTTTCTCTAACAATCTATCCATCGTATCTTATTTTTACTCATCACATCAAGAATAAAATTGGAAGTCAACTACAATTTAATACTTCCTTAATTTTACACTTGGTCAAAATAGGAACTCTTATTAAGAACAGAGACAGTATATTACTATGTATACTTGTTGTACTAATAATCTACATGTTGCATCATAGTTCACCAATCACATTAAAAGTAATTCATACTTGCAAATATACATGTTGCAAATATAACCAGTGTGTAATATGTGTTTAAATAAATTCATACTTGCACTGGACCAACACGTAATTAATGCACTTCCAAGTCTAGTGTTAAAAAAATCATTGATATTTCTTTCGTTCGAAAATATTCTTCACACTTGGCTTTTCTTATTCAAAGTTTGTAAATTCTAAGTTCAATTTGTAGAAAAAAAATAGTGTATTATGATATACATTTAATATCAATGTATTTCTAAAAAAATTTAATTTTGAAATATTAAATTTTTATAAAATATATCTATGTGTAAATATACTCGGGAAGTGAGAGTGTATAATGGTCAAATAAGAAGAACATTTCCAGACGTAGGAAATATAATATTTCTAATGTTATTGACCATTAATATGATTTTTAAAGTTCAGCTTGAAGCACACAAGGAGCTAATATAAATAATAGGATTTCCATAATGTCGTTACTGGGATCCATGTATTCAAGTTAAAATCAACAGAATTGACATCTTCTCTTTGTGAGGGAGGAATGAATATTTATGGCGGAACGTCCACCCTTGCGCTCATACCTTGGCCTGACAGGATTGTGAGAGGTAAATTATGGTATAATCTTAATATTATCATTAAAGAGGTCGCCATGTGACACAAGGAGCTACTCTCTCCATCCTAAAACTATCTTCCCAGTTTCTATTCACGCGGTCAAACTTAAATCACTTTTTTTTTACCTATTTCGTTAGTTATTTGTTAAAATAATATAGTCTTGTCACATCTTGTTTTGTAGAACATCTGATGTAGCTTTTTAATATATAAATTTTATTTTTTAATTTTACACCTGCAATCAAATAAATTGAATTGAAAATAAAATCGGACAAACCTCATTGATTTTAGGATGAAGGGAGTATTACAAATACTCCCTCCGTCCCGGAAAACATGAGAGTTTTGATTTTGAAGGGGATTTAAGGGGAATGTATTTTGACATTGAATTTCCAAAAATGTCTTTTGATGTGATGGGTAAAAATATAATTTGATGGATAGATTATTAGTGTATGATAGGTAGAGTATGAAAAAGTAAGGGGTAAAAGTAACTTTTTAATAGAAATGAGAAGTATTTTTTGGGACGGATGAAAAAAAAAAGAGAAAAATTTTCAGGGACGGAAGAATTAATAAAATTTCTACACTAGCATTATCATAATTCGACCTTAAGATGAAGGGGCTTGAGCGATAAAATATTTATGATTGGTACTAAAGGCAGCTATGTTATAGCGCTGCGTTTCTAGATCCGTCTTTCCATAACTATGCTGTCGATCACACGTGGGTGTCACCCTGACATAACCTCTGATGTTCCATTGCTTGTTCGGTCTACCACGTTTGTCTGGTTTTTTCTTCTTCTTTTTTTTTCAGCTATCCAACTTTTCTTCCACTTTTTTGGTACTCACCTTAATAATGGTCACATTTTTTGGTACTCACCTTAATAATGGTCTCATTTAATTAATGACTTCATTTGAGGTATATATGATGCTGATAGAATAATACTCCCTCTGTTTCCCCGTAAATCTTTCTAATAAACTTTTTTATTTGTTTTAAATAGATCTTCTAATTATCTTTTTTAACAATTAAAATATCACAATTACTCTCACTTACGTTATTTATGCCTTTATTTTTTAAACAACTTTGCACTTCTTTTTATACTTTGCAAATTTATTATAACTTTTTTAAAATATGGAAGAGGTCTAATTGTGATGATCTTTCAAAGAAAAAGTATTAAGAACCCACATCAAGTTTTTTTTAAAAAAAGAAGAAATGATACAATGATATTATTTTAACAAATACTCCCTCCGTCCCATTATATTTGTCCACTTTCATTTTTGCACACCATCCAATACACTTCTTTAATTCATTTTATCTTGTAATTTGTATATTAAAAAATTATAGAAATTATATATTAATAATCTATTTGTTAAGACAAATCAAACAAGATCACGCATGACTATATTTAGGCTAACACATTGAGAGAATTTGATGAGTCAAAGTGCTTGTATGAACAGTTCCAAAAGTCAAAAGTGGACGAATATAGCGGGACGGAGGGAGTAATTAATAAAAATAAGTTTAAATAAAAAAGATAATTTAACATATCACATTTGTGTGGTGAACCCTAAACGTGAATAATTAAATATGGGACAGGCAAAATATTTCGAGGTAGTAGTGTAGGACCAAAGTGTCCCCAAAAATGTACGCCAAGTGTTTCCAAAAATGTAGGACTAAACGTGAAAACTCTTTAATTACAAAAAGAAAAAGATCATTTCCGAGTTTATTATCTCCATTTCTAAGTATTTGTCTAGTTTTAATTTTTTTCAATCAATTTTTTTCAATCATTGACCTATAATTAAATAAAATATATATTGTATATTAATTAGATAAAATAATATTTTAAAAAATTTTGATATAACAAGTTTATTAAAACTATTTTTATGTCAATATCTAATATCATTTTTAGTAAATTTAAGGACAAAATTTACCAATTTTGACTAAAAAGTCAAAAGTAAGGTTCTAAAAAAAGAAAAAGAAGTACGAAGTATAAAACGTCGATCGTTCAATGCTTGATTTGGCTAGTTTTCTAATCATGATTTTATTAATTCACATTTGCTCCATTCCTACCCCTGAAAAACAAATTTTTTTTAAAAAAAAGATGATTGGGGACTGGGGATTAATTTTAATCAATGCGTTATAATCAGATTAGAAATTTAGAAAAAAAATAATATCAAAACTATGAGAAATTTGATATTACAAAAATAGTCTGAGATTACAAAATTATCACCAACCAATGCTTTAAGAAATTTAATATTTTTCACATTGATTTTCTTTTTTGAGGTGTATCAATGACCAAAATCTTAGAAACACCCTCTCTACTATTAGGAGTAAGGTTGCTTGCATACACCCTACCTAAACTCTGTTCTTGCGGGATACTACTGGGTTGTTGTTGCATCTATGACCAAAATACAAGCTTGGAGAATTATTATACAAATATTAAATCACTTAAAACTCACCAAACGGGCCCTAAAACATTTTCTTCTAAGGCATCAAATTTCTGAGCGTATTTGCATAAATATTTCCCAAAAAAATATCCATTTCCTCAGTGTTCTATGTGTAGAACTGAATTTCAAATGCTTAGGGTCAAGAATTTGGAAGAAGCAGAGACAATACTACAACAGATAACAGCAGAATATTTTCATTTTTTCTATTATTTCAAATCCAAACACATTCCATTCAAGAAAACATAACCAAGCAAGCCTTGGTGTCGATTATTGATCTCCTGCATAGGGAGAATGATAGTTCAGTCAATGTAGTGTTTGTTTGGCGAAAATACGTTTTTCGCTAAATCCATTTCGTCCACGCAAAAGAGAGTAAAAAAATCGCCAAACAACTAATTACTGGCGCTTACCTGACTGATACGCGGGAAGAGGTAAAGTCAAGCAGCGTCAGAAGTAACGTCCCTGATAGAACATGTATCAAAGACCTCTATCCAATAGCCATCCGGATCCTTAATGAATGCTATCCCCTTCATTTTTCCTGCAATGAACTTTCTTCATTTATGAAATGATGACTGTGAATGGAAACTCTTAACTTTTCAAGTTTCTGCTTGATAGACACATTACATATTGGGCACACGATAGCCGGTCCTACATATCGTGTCCCAATTCCCAAAATATTACTCCCTAGGTTCCAATTTATCTGGCTAGATTGACTAAATTCCACAGTTTGCGTCTTAAGGAATGATGAGTTATTCAAAAAATTTACTCCTTTCGCCCCAATGTATATGTCAGCTTCCCATGTGTTGGCCCATCACTTGCACGGCCTCCACCTACGAATGAACGACGATGAGAGTGGGCCCTTTGTTAGACCAGGTGGGCGTATCGGCCATGAAGGTTGGCCTCATATGAAATACGACCTTGTGGGTTGACCAGGCTACGATGATGGCCGAGAAACCAAGTTGACCATAGCATCTGGAAGGGACGATAAAGTTTGCAAGGTCCATTGAATCATGGTAGCCCCATAAATGCAAGCTAACATTTGTAATCTTTGCTACGGGTGGAAATGTGTAGTATAATTAGCACCATAAATCTTAATGTGCCCTTTGGCCCAAAACGTGCTTAAGACTATATTGACTTTGCCATCAGGACCAGCCTTCATGGTGTAAATCCACCAACATTCAACAACAATCTTGTCTGGAAGGGGAATCAAATGCTAGGAAGAGCTCAAGAGCCCCACATCTTAACTAACATAACCTCATGTCGCTCCAAAAAGGAAGCGCCTTATGAACTTTAGTAGGTAAATGTACATTTATAGGTGTGAGATAAAACTTAAATGTATAGTGAAGTGTAAAAATACTTCTAGTTGGATATCAAGAATGATTTCCACCATGAGGATCTATACAAGGAAGTTTACATGGAGTGACCAAGCTATGTAGCTCGGGAGGGGAAGGAGGGGGGGGGGGGGGG